TGCCCATCCTCCCTTAAAGAAGCAATGGGTGCGTTCGACTTGGGCTTAGGTGGTCTGCAGCTGATGCAACGTGGAACGCGATCTGCCAGCCGTTGCAGGGGTGGAGTATAAACTGACTGCAGCCAAGTCGGACAACTTCTACTCCTCGTAGTCTGCGAGACATGACTGCAGCACTGCCAGAAGGGTGTAGATAAATCTATAGAAATATCTCCTTCATGCACATTACTTCTTTTACAATAGCCAACTCCTGATACAAACTGTTAGCAGTGAATAAAACTATTGTGTATAGTGGCTCTGTGTTAAAAAATAGCTGCCAGGAAAAAGATCAAATACATGTATTTCAAGGATTCAAAGTTATTATTGTCATGTACAGAGTACAATGCAATTCTTACTTGAATGCCTTCACAGACTGGACGATTAAACAAATAAAGCAGCGCAACATTACAGTAACTAACAATAAATAAACCACTAACTTACGTGTACCGTTAGAGCATTTATGTAATTTATTTAAACTTTATTTTACCAGGTAAATGAACTGAAAACCAGTTCTCACTGCTTTACGTGCTTTCCGAGAAAAATAGCAGATAACGCATTGGAACTTATAGGGATACAAACGTCATGCGTGTGACTAAAATCTTCAGCCAATAAGGGCAAAGTTGTGTCGTCACGGAGGCGGTTCCAGTTTGTGCTGCACGGTCTGTCTCAAGTCTTGCGCTCACTAGTATTTTGTACCATGTGACATGGTGACACGTGGTGACGTTTTGCAGCGCCGGACAAAAAAGTCTAACCATGATTTGGCATTTTTATGAATGTGTTTTTTGTTTGGTTTAGATACTTTTCTACCTCAGAATTTTAAAAAGTTTCTAAGAGACCAAGAATAGAGGAAGATACTTGTTGCAGTCAGTTCTGTACTGCTTTATTTTATGTTTGCCCTTTAACATATTTCCAGTATTATATAGTTTTGCATATTGTTACATAATTATATGGTTTTGTTCATTTGAGCTATATTTCTTTGAATACTTGAAAATCAATGACCTTTTATCATTTTAAGGGGATTTTGAATATAAATAATAAAATTTGTTGGAAAATAACTATTTGTTTACTAATATTGTTTATTCATTCTATTTGTCAGAATAGGGTTATTTTTATTATTATATTGATTATTACATGGAACAGCATTGTGAAACTATAATATTGATAATTATCGATATCTGTCAATACAGGAAAAAAATATCGTGATTTTTTATTTTTTATTTTTTTTTGCCATATCGCCCAACTCTAGGTCAAGTTGATTTTCTTGGAGGAAAATTAATCGTTTTGGTCAATCGACCAATCCATAAAATAGTTGATGACTATTTTTCTGTGGAGTAAGCTGTTAATTGGTGCAGCCCTAGTGCCTATTGTATGCTAACGTTTTTTCCCCCCCAAGGCTGACCCTGAAGTAAACCCAAAAGCCTACCCTTTGGCTGATGCTACATTGACCAAAACCATCCTGGACCTTGTTCAGCAAGCCTCCAATTACAAACAGCTAAGAAAGGGGGCCAATGAAGGTAAGTTCTACTGTATTGTGATAATACGTTTACTTCGCCCATGTTGATTTATCTTTTATCTAATATTGGAAAACTTGTGGAACATTTCCGTAAATTAAATAATCTGCATTTTTTTAATGTCCCTCTAGCCACCAAAACATTGAACCGTGGGATTGCAGAGTTCATTGTGATGGCTGCTGATGCAGAACCTCTGGAGATCATCCTGCATCTGCCACTACTTTGCGAAGATAAAAATGTGCCCTATGTGTTTGTGCGCTCCAAGCAGGCCTTGGGTCGTGCCTGTGGGGTCTCCAGACCTGTGATCGCCACGTCGGTCACCATTAAGGAGGGGTCCCAGCTTAAACCACAAATCCAGTCTGTGCAGATGGCTATTGAAAGACTTCTGGTGTAATAAAATGTCGTCTTTTACTATTAAGAACAATTCTAGTGAGATGTAACAGACCTTTTTTTGTGTTATTTCACTGCGTTTTTATCAAGTCAAAATTTTAATGTCTTCTGGTATTAAATTCTTTTTTTTAAGAAAAAAAAGCTTTTGGGTGTGTGTTTTATTTTTATGAACCACATTTTGATTGCACCAGATGGTAATTTGGTTGCACTACATGCAGAATCCAGTTGACAATTCTAAAGACACAGAACATAACTGTAGAAATGTTGTATCACTTTTCTGAAGCGAGTAAAATGTGATCTATGCTGGCTTCTTGACTAAAAAAGTTCAGCTGCTGATTTGCACAAGTAAAGGTACATTGGGGAGTTTTTTGTATTGATGCTTCTTGTATTGACAAACCTAAGTATTTATTAGCCCCCAAACATCAAAAAAGTAGCCCTTGGAAATGGTTTTGGTTCTACACTGTAGATGGCAAAGTCTCAGGTATTACTATTATTTACAGCTGGTTTTGTATCACTGCTTCCTATAGCCTGGAAGCTATTGGGGAAAAAACCCTAATTTTGAAAAGAAAAATCATATAAAATACACAAAGAGTTCGGTAATTCGTCGACGGTCCCAAATCAGCGGCGATCAATTATCTGCCAGGGTGTGTTTCTCGACCGCTTATACCGTCTATCGTAAGTGAAACACCGCCGTTAGGTGTGGAGAGTGTGGATCTGAATATCTGTCGAAAATCCAACCTAAAACTGATTGCACCTCGGTTATGTAAATGCAGTGTCTCGTAGTGCAGCGTGACTAAGCGGGTTGTCCGCTGGGTGCCACTGAAGATGTGTTTGTACAAAACAAGTCAACATTCAATAATTGGAAATACCAGCATCACTGGGAGTTCTGTTCTTGATTATCACTTTGTCACGTCGTATTTATTAGATTATATGAATGATAACAAAACGATTACGAAGTTATGCCAAAGGAATATACTACTGTTCATCAAATGACGCTTCCCCTAATGGTACAAACTGGTAAGTTCAGGTTGTCACGCTGTGGTTGAAATACGATGTCTGGTTGTGCACTCATGAACCAGCACTTTGTATAAGCGTGTTTATTATAACGGTGCAAGCATAACACTTGTTAGAAAACGTGAATGCGATTTCTATCATTAAATAATAACAAAATAAATAAGAAGTTATGGCAGAGGAATGGTATTGTATTTCTACCAAAGACGCCGCCCCCAGTGGTACATAAAAGTAAGTTGAAATTGCTAGTTTTACGTGTTGATTTTATTATGGTTATTTTAAAACGGTAATTAAAATGCAAACAATATGTTGCATGAACAGTTAGTTACAGAAGCATTTTTACTACAGCCATAGATATTATACGCATAGATAGCGCCTTGGTAACTGCTGTTCATAAGAACGTAACTGCACTTTTGTGCTGCAAGCGCTGTCACGAGACACTGCCATGGAAAACGTAACAGTACAGTTAACTTTGTGTTGTAAGCCCTTCTTTACTTACCCATTTGATTTTACAGATCAGCCTGATCTATGTGAACCTAGTTCGGTTCTTGTGGATCACTTGTTTGGTTGTATCGGTCTTATATCTCCTGTAATGGCACTTAGTCACAGAGCTCAATTAACTGAATTGTGCAACAATAAACAAATCTGCTAAAATACGGTTGTGACTTTTTTCACAAGTCAATGTCGGTCTAATACAAATGTATTTTTAATATAATTGACAGCGTTTTGGAAATAGGCTTCCAATGAATGTTTTGAACCCCTTTGCCTCACACACTTAGTCACTGGCAGACGACCTTTGGACTGTGAAAGAAATGAGACTGGTCAGAATGAGCCTGGTCGGACCTGTTTAAACGGTCCAGTTATTTTTATTACTATTCGTGTTTCAAAATAAGGGAAAGTACTATATTACACATATAATATTACACAGATTTAGGGGTGGAGGATGACGTCATCTGAATTATAAAATCACGAGAAACAAAATGCCATTCTATTTACTACAGGACGTCACTGCACTGTCGAGATAAATTCAACTGAATAACGAATCACTAACTGCAAACTATCCTACCGCTGTGAGTCGTGTTAAAATGGCTGAGATTCCCGTGCTGATCAGCAGAGACGAAGTTAAGGGGCTGCTAAAATATTCAGACTTAGTTTCGCACTTGGAAGTAGCACTGGCAAAATTCTCCAAGCGCAATGCTGAAGAAGTCATACAACCTTTGAGGACTATTTTACCCTTAGAGAGATACAATGGGTAAGTCAGTGTTTCAAGTTTTGATATCATATTTACGTTGGTTATAAAACTTTGCAAGTGGATAAAGTGGTTACTTTTTTTTCACTAGATTCCTTGGAGTGATGCCTGCCTATATGGTCCAAGAAAATATTTTGGCCACTAAAATGGTGTCTTTCTACCAGCGTGACGAAGGCTCTGATTTCCCTGCGCACCAGGCCACCGTGCTGCTGCTGGACCCGCAACGGGGGAACGTGACTGCCGTGCGTATGTAAACACCGTGGCGGTACCTGTACGCTGTAATATGCCGTAAACGTACGTGTTGGTGTGTGGAGAAAATGATCTCAGTGATAAAACATACGTTGTAGGTTTATATGTAATAATTTCGTAATGGGTAAGGCTGACCTGCCCAGCATTTCTATATGCATTCTCAAGCGAAATTTATCATTAGCAAATTTGATCACTTTTATCAGTATCAATTTTTGCGCAGTGATTTCTGGAGGGGTGGTCCGAGTTTGAGGACCACTGCGTAAAATTTTACCAGAGGTGGAGATTTCAGGTCCAGAGAGTACAAATCCAGACCAAGATTTTGTTTCAACCAGCCAGTTGAGTACTCTGTGACTGTGACTCTTCATACTCATCTGATTGGTTGAAACAAAATCTTGGTCTGGATTTGTACTCTCTGGACCAGAAATCTCCACCATGCATTTTAACTATGGTTGATATGCTTAGGTTATGGATGGAACTGTCATCACAGAAAAAAGAACAGCAGCAGTTTCAGCTATTTCCACCAAAGTAAGACTTTCTTTACTATTACTTTACTAGCTTAACTTCACAGCAGTTAAGCATATTGCAGCCACAGAGATCCTGAAATCATCACTGTGTTGCAGCAGATGTGGTGTGTCCCATTTTGCCATCTGCAGTTTCTGCGGCCCCCCCACGCTGAGGTGCTGTGTATCCTGGGGTCAGGTTCTCAGGCTCTCAGCCACTATGAGATCCTCACACAAATGTTTTCCTTCAAAGAGGTACTGGCAGAGTTCACATGGAAAGAGCTTGAAAAAATGATTATTTTGGTTCTAAACAGGACACAGATTTAAGTAATTTGTTCATTTAACAAAATGAAAACATTGTGCATGGTTCAGAATATTGGTTTAAACTAATTGACATGACTCGGTGTATTACTAAAGACAATTTCATAAATGATCTTAAGACAATATATAAATATTTAGTTTAGTCACTGTAGATTTGTTGTTTTTTTGCATTATAGTGGGACTATGTTTTTTTTGTGTGTTGTTATTGACACCCACGGGATGTACCCCTACCCTACCCTGCGCTGCCTATGATAGGCTCCAGGTCTCCCCATCACCCTACGCAGAATAGGAAGCTGTAAGATGGATGGATGGACACCTGGGCTGTAACATCGATGACATGCTTTGTTTTCTCCCATAGATTCGTTTGTGGAGTAGGAGAAAAGAGAAGGCAAAAATGTTTAGTAGTAAGGTCAAGGGCCCGGTAACTGTGTGCTCCTCTGTGAAGAATGCGGCTGAGGGTGCGGATGTCATAATCACAGTCACCATGGCGAAAGAGCCCGTGCTACAGGGACAGTGGGTGAAGCCGGGTGCCCACATAGTGGGTGAGATTACATCAGACTGTCGGAGGTTGACTCTACCAATGTTTTGTAAGAAGTGTGTGTTTTAGAGTGATTTGTGGAGGTAGGAAGGAAACGGGGGTAAACATTTTTTTGCCTAGACTAAAAACCCCTGTATTTGGATTTCAAAGCACAGCAACAGAGCAGAATTTGTGAGAGGACAGTAGTCAAAATTTAGCAAAACGCCAAATCTTTTATCATGTTCATGTGTAACTTGCAGTCATAGGTGACTTTATCCGATCAGATGAAAAGGCTAATTGAACATATTAAGTTCATTCAAATTTTTAATTATATTTAGTAGTTATATTTGAAAATGTGGCTTGTGTTAGTCATATCAATATGTATTGATAATGTTATTGTAAATATATTTACTCATTTTTTACAAATATATTTATCTGGACGAATGACTGGTTGCGCTCTCTCGCCTTTCACCCCAGAGGAGAAAAACCTGGAGTTCCCTGTGTCTGCAGTTATGCACATTTGCTGGAAGAGTAACAAAGAGTAACAAAGAGTAACGAAGTACTGTTGGTGTTTTGCTTACTAGCTGTAGGAGCCTGCAGGCCAGACTGGAGGGAACTGGATGATGACCTGATGAGGGAGGCAGTGGTGTATGTGGACAGCAGGGAAGCAGCCTCTTCAGAATCAGGAGATGTAATCCTTTCTGGGGTAGAGTACAATCCTGGGTTTTAAAATGCATGGACACACCTGCTACTCAGTAAGATGTACTTGTATGACACGCTCGTATATTTTCCTTCGATTATGATGAAATCTGACAAATTGTAAAATTATGTAACACCACACATCCATCCACACAAACCTGTGGCCAGAGCTTTTTTAGTAAGAAGCTCAAGTCAAATTTATTTTCATGTGGGTAATTTAGTTGAAGCACTGAATGTAACTTTTTTATAACAGAACAGGTGTGATGTCTTTGCTTACGGGGATTTGTTGGTGCTTTTTCTGAGTGAGGACAGCAGTAGAAGTCCAGCACTTCAGTGGTCCTATACCTGGGCCATTGTTACAGTTGCAGTTGATGAATCTAAGAAGTAGATGGCAAATTGGGATTATATGAGAAATATTTTTGTGTGTTTTGACATGTGCTTTGTTTTTAGGCTGTCGTTTTTGCAGAGCTGGGTGAAGTTATAAATGGAAGTAAACCAGCCCACTCTGAGAGAACCACTGTGTTTAAGTCTCTTGGTACGATTCATGGTTACTTCTGCCTCTGCTCTGTCAGAAGCGTGGCAGTGCCTCCTCACTTCTCCGGGGTCGGGGCTTCAAATCCAGTCTTTAAATATATTAGAAATATAAGGTCATAATATTGTAATGCATCCAATACATCATTATGAATTTCAAATATATGCTTTTCCTCTATTGTGGCATTCCTGGTACTTTACTTCTGTTTCCATTGTTTTCCTCTAAAGGAATGGGCATTCAGGATGCAGTGTCCGCCAAGCTTGTGTTTGACCAATGGAAGAGCCAGCAGTGAAGAATATGTAGACTCTAACTATTGTTCTAAAGTACATTTTGCTAACTCCTTTAGCATTAATGAGGCTAACAGTTAAACATGCTATTTGAACCTGAACTAAATTGTAATTAAATGGAATTACTCATGTTTTCATACAAGTATCATACAATAATTTTAAGAAAATGGAATGCAAAACAGTGAACAGTACCTGGAAAATGAAAATTTCTAGACAAATATTACTATATAAATTTATAATAATCTGAACAACCACATTTACTCTTCACCAAGAAAAAAGATTACAATCAAGTGTTTTAGTTGTGTGGTTAGAAAGCTGTTGAACAGAGTAAGGATGCAAGTCTGAAATATGCAGATGTCAGTCAACATGAAAATTCCAATAATGCCAATGTTTCATTATTTTTTTATGTTAACATGTCATTCGTAACAAATAAAAACATTAATCTGATGGGGGAAAAAATCAGTGTATGAACATTAATGAACAAAACCTCCCAAACCAGAAGAGTGGGAGTTGTTAAAGATTTTACACGTTGGTCTCACAATACCTGATGCTCATATAAAATCATTATGTAATGCAGCCATACAGAGAATTCCTCCATGTCAGATAAACCAGTTTCAACACGACCATTTCTAGCAGAATGATAGACTTTGATATCGGCATGGATTACCATGGCGACACTGCTCCAGTGAGCCAGGGCACTGCTGGTGATTCCGGATACCTGCGATATATATGCTGATTTGTGCTCCAGAAACTTTTCATATGTAAGACAATACAAGCCATTAAAAATACTCTTCTGTAAGTTACTGGGTCTCGTTTTACAGATACGTGTGATTATGCAAAATATATATTTTTTCAGTGTTGTGCTCAAACCAAAAATTCATGGTTTCACTTTAACATGAACGTAAATAATATTTTTGGCTGTAGTTTGTCCACATAAAATAACCACAGAAACATTTGTAAATCTGTAGTAATGCATCTCAGACTGAAATCACTGCTATATTAGACCTAAACCAGGCATTGGTTGTTCCAAAAACCCGCAAACAAGGCATACCCGATCAAAAAATTCTGGGAAGCAGTGTTCTAAATTACTGTGTCAAAAACAATTGTAGTCCATCATATAAAACTTTGTAACATGACTAAAATCCTTGCTAAATAGCAGATATTAACCGGAGCCATTTCCCAAGCTGGTACACCCCAGGCTTAACTCGCAAAGCGTTTAATTCACATCATATTTAACACACATGGAAAAGATTTTCTCTGGATAGTAAAGTGTTTAAAATGATCCGATATATCAGTGCTCCCCAGTGACAATCTTTTAGGCACAGTTAGCAATGCCTTCAGTAGATACCTTCGAAAACTAAACAATGGGGAAACAGTTTTGGGAAAGTTTTTAAGGAAATATGCAGTCAGTTAGTGAGTCATCTCACTTTCACTTAACCATAAATGGAATATTTTATTCAGACGATCACAATTACCGTTAATTGCGAGATACGCATGCAGGCCTCCCCAACCCCCACCAAGTCAGCCAAGGTGAGCTCAGACCACAGAGATTTATTTCTCCTGTGTCCCTTTAGAGCAACAGACTTCCTTTTCTCCTTGGCAGTGGACAGAGTACCACCCCGATAGTGCCATCAAACCCTGTCTAAAGACCAGACTGAGTCAGGGCCAAACACTCCAGGTAACTATTACTTGAGTGGGAGTAAAGGTGGGGGGTGCGGTCTCGTTGTAGGACACATACCAATTTAAGCAAACATCAATAGGTAGATTTGCCTCCTTCGAATATCTCTGTGCCATAATGATGGGCACACCACACATTTCATTAGTAATTGCCTACAGACCTCCCACATAAAATTTCTGATCTCCTGTGTTTCATCTCCATGGATTTTGAAAGTTTCCTTATAGCTGGTTATTTTAACATCCGCACAGATAATTCTGTGCCTCTTTCACATGTGTCATTTATCACAGCATGCAAGTGGTCCTACTCAATTTCAAGGTCATATGCTGGACTTGGTTATCAGCAAGGGTCTCAGGATTTCCACCATTGATATTAGGGATCTAGCTTTGTCAGAACACTTCTGTATTTTCTTCTATTTGTTGACTCCTGCCAGTGACCCTGCCCAGAATTACAATCAGGAAAATAGGCACATCAGTGAAAATATTGGTGTTTTGTACTAGTGTTTTATTTATACAAGCATGCACAAGATCGGCCTCTGTAGATGACCTTCTTGAAGACCCGAACAGCTGTAATAAGGTTTTTGGTGCCACAGCACTTGTTAAGGTTAAAATAATCTCTGGCAAAAAAAAACACCTTGGAGAAACACCTCAGCAGTTGTATTTCAAAAGAGAGAATGTGGGAAGTGTAAAGGGAGGAAGAACAGGCTTCATATTCCACCTTGACATTTATAAAGAAACACTCTGAATGTATAACTAAGCTAAGCTAGCTACTGTTGATTTTCTTGTTAATGATTAGGGAAATAAGGCAGCCTGGGCTAGCTTAGCTCAGTTATACATTCAAAGTATTTCTTTAAATTTGTTTACTCATTTGGGAAATTCCCTTATTCGTGTCACGCCCAGCTCCGTCCGATCCTCGTGTGTACCACGCCCACCTCGTTACCTCGTGTTAATCCCTGATTGTCATCACCTGTTTCCTGTTCCTTTTGACTTGTCCTGTGTATATTAGTCCGCGTCTCCCACTATCTCCCAGATCAGTCATTGACGTTTCGTGATGTTTAGTGCTCATTTTGTCTTGAGTGTCTCCTATCCCCTGAATAAACCCCGTTTGCCCGTATCACCGGCTCTGCTCACCTGCTTCCCCGCTCGCCTGTCTGCACGCATCGTAACAGAATGACCGATCTCCCCAAAGACTCACCGCGGCAGGACGAGGACCTATGGCTCGTCCTACTGCACGAGGTGGGTTACTGACGAGAGGTGCCGGAGATCCAAGAGGATCCTGGCTTACTCGCCCTGGCGGAGAAGAGCTGGACCCTACTACAGGGAGTCACCCCACTCACGGAAGCGCACGCAATAGCGGAAGTGCGCTCCCTCCTGCAGCAACTCGTCTGCCAGGTAAAGGAGAAACGGCTCCAGCCACTCGCCTGCACGGAGGCAACCCCACCTCCACCTGCCGGTCCCGGTTGGCGAAAGAAGAAGAGGCGCAGGGAGAAAGGAGAAGAAGCCGCCCCGACCATCTTCTTGGGGGCGTGTTACCTCCTGATTCAGCAGCCTCCGGAAGACACCACAGCCGCACAGCCCCTGTCAACATCTGCCTCCATATTTCAGGGTGGCTGCCTGGAGTATGAGGGGTTCAGGGCGGTGTTGGACGCAATTCCGCGAGTCCCGCGATCCCTTAAAGGGACCACACCTCACTGGGAAGTGCCGGACCTGGACGCGCCGGCTGACAGGACAGACCTCCCGCCTGCTGTTGCCGCTGCACTGGCCGCGGCCCCACCTGCTGTTGCCGCCTCACTGCCCGCCGCACCGCCTGCTGTTGCCGCCGCACTGCCCGCCACACTGTCCGCCACACTGTCCGCTGCCCGGCCTCACCCGCCTGTCCAGCCCGGCTAGCCCGTCCTGCCTGTCCAGCCCGGCTCGCCCATCCTGCTGCCACGCCCGCGGCTCTGCCCAAGCCTCCACCCGCTGCGGCTCCAGTGACTCCTTGGCCCTTACCCCAGCGAGGCCGACACCCACCGAGGCCCCGCCTTTCTGTGTCCCGAAAGGGGAGGGGACACAAGCGCAGGGCCGTGGTCCCGCCCACCCTGCCCCCTGGCTCGCCCTCACGCGCCTTGGCTGGGGCTCCGGGGTCGCCTGCGGTTTCTCCGGCTCTGGGTTGGCGGTTGCCTCCGGGTCCCCCCCCGGTGCCTCGGTGCCTCTGGCTCCATGTCGGCCACCTCCGGGCCCCCAGGCTTCGGCTGGGCGTCGGACGGCGCCTTCCCCTCCGTCACTCCCTCGGCCTGTCTCCTTGGCCCCTGCGTGGTCCCCTGCTGCTCCTGCCTCCCTCTCGCCTGCGGCCCCTCCAGCCACCGCCCGTCTGGGCTCCCTCGGGCTCCCCTTCGTCCCCCGTCCGTTCCTGTCTGGTCTCCCTTGTCTGCTCCTCGTCCCTTCATCCCTCCTGTTTCTGCTCCTCCTCCTTTCTCGCATTTCTCGCCATCTCCTGTGTCTCCTTTCCTAATCTGTTTGTCTGCATTTCCCGTTCTGTGTCGGGTCTTGTCCTGGCTTCTGCCCTTGTGTTTGTTCTGCGTGTCTGTTCTGTTTCCGGTGCCCCGCTGATGTCTTGCATTTTTGTCTTTCATGTCTTGTTCCCTCGTCTCGTCCGTCGCCTCCCCACGGGCCCGGTGTGCGCGCCTTTAGGGGGGGGGGTTCTGTCACGCCCAGCTCCGTCCGATCCTCGTGTGTACCATGCCCACCTTGTTACCTCGTGTTAATCCCTGATTGTCATCACCTGTTTCCTGTTCCTTTTGACTTGTCCTGTGTCCTGCTCACCTGCTTCCCCGCTTGCCTGTCTGCACGCATCGTAACAATTTGTTACTTTAATGATTATTATTTCAAGAATTATTTTGATGCATATATATATTTTGGTAGGTTTCATACATAGCATTTAATATTCAATTAAAAAACACACTGGTAGCAATTGAATTATTATTGTATAATAAATTACACTCCATTTTGCAAAAGCAGATCTTTTTTTTATTCTGTTCTGCCCGAATCTGGAATCACGGATATGTACATCTGTACCTCACATTGTGGTATAAAGTCAACCAAATAATAATCGATAAACATATCTTAATATACATTAATAATTTAATAAAACATATCGGCTGTACAATCAAGCTAAATGCAAACGATTTCTTGATAATTAATAAAAACACATTTAACGTATTTTATTGATGTGAACTCTTGCTCACACATAAGCACCTAAATTACATTATTAGGCCTAGACTGTCAACTACCAAACATTATTTTTATGTGGCCCACACGAGTTTGCACAGGTTCCGGTGTGGCCTGTTCACTAAAATGAGTTTGACACCCTTGCTTTAAAGCAGCAGGCAGTTCCTGTTCTTCTTCTTGGCTGGCTGCGGGTGGCGTGTCGCCCTGACGACCTCGTCAAACACTGTTTTAAGGCCACACTGAGTCCGGGCTGAGCACTCCAGGTACTTCACCGCTCCTGTCCAGCAGGTAACGGGGTGGGACAAGCAAAGCAATTAGCACATCAAAGATTTTAGGCCTTCCATACAGGGAGATTATGGATATAGAAACCCCACCTCCATCCATATAAACTCAAAACTCAAAGTGCATCTGCCGCAAACAAAAGACGTTAAAGATTCTATACAGCAAATCTATATAATTCCATTATAAATCTAAAATTAGCTACATCTAAAGAGCTGGGCTAGTTTGCAAACCCTACAGACTATTTACAAGGAAATAAAACTGTTGCATATATGTAAATGTGTGTGCATGTGTGCAGGGGCGGATTAACGCACAGGCTAGATATGGCTTAAGCCTAGGGGCCCCACGTGTGCCTGCCTGCAAGGGGGCCCCCATTGGCGCGGAGGGGGGCAGGGTTGGGGGGCCCACAGACTACTGTAGCCTAGGGGCCTCTGTGCACCTTAATCCGCCCCTGCATGTGTGTGCAGACTTGTCTTGAATTGAAAATCTCAGTTAGCAGCCCTGACACAACCCCAACCTCAGAATTCAAGACGGCTGCGCCCTTTATCAAGTCTGAAGTTTTATGCTGTTTATTATCACTTATGTCTTATTTGTAGCTCATTAAATAGATCATACACACAGTACTGTCCAACCGCTATCTGTGGGCATGTTGCTACGGTGTTGTTATGCACAAAATACCACATAATGTATTGTTATCAACTGATATCGCTAAAAATCAAACTGGCCAGAAAACTACCAGATTTATGGTAATCTGAGCTAAATGTAAGTAAACAAAGATAACAGCCATTTCAACTGGGGCTGCTTAAATCTAACAAGTTATCAAGCTAAGCATGAAATCCTGCTTTTTGGAACAGGTCCATGGAATTGCTTATTGGCATTCCAAGTTGTTGTACTGGAATGTGGATAACTCGGGTGTGTTGTCATTCCCGAGTCCGACTTCTGACTTCGGGTAAATGGAACGAAGCAATAGTTTCCTGGAGCATCTACAGAACACATCTCAGTATTTTGCACTTTTGTTGTGAGCACTGTGTGGTCTGCATTTGCTATTGTTGGAAATAATGGCAGTATTAACAAGCAGCCCTTGCCAATTTTAACTGGAAGCTCAGCAAAACTAACCACTGCAGTGGAGGATGGACGTGAAAAAGGAAAAAAAAAACACACTGGTAGCAATTATCGTTCCATTTTAACAGGTAGGTCTTATAGAATATACTGTCCTATTGCTTGATCATTATAACATGGTCAAGCCTTCAATCTGCATTCAGAGCTGCCCTATAGGATAAACCACAGGGGATGAAATAAATCCCCAGACATTTAAGGATCTGGAATTTAATTATGAAGACACTAACCGATCGCTTTAGTCATGGCCAAACCCTGAGAGGAGGTGATAGGGGTGAGACCTTCCTTTTTCAGCTCCGCAGTGGTGGCCTTGTCATCCCGTAGGTCAAGCTTGGTGCCTACAAGGATAATGGGAGCGTTGGGGAAATGGTTTCTGACCTCTGGATACCACTGCAGAGAGAACAAGACCAACATGCTTTGGTCATTGTGTCTGGGATACACAATCAACTTTACAGTTCGCCATGCCGGCTATGATTGTATAATTATCCCTGCACCGAATGCCTCACCTGGAGCAGACACTCTCCATGAGGCAAGGTTTGTGTCTCATTAACGGTCAGCTAAGTATATATATCCTGTCACTTTTCAATTTAAAGCAACGTTTGTTACACTAATGCAGTTAACAGCATAGCATGGTGTTTGGGGATGTTCAGTTCTGGTTGATTTCCAGCTGTAAGTGATTTAAGTTATTTATTTAGCAGACTTTTATCCAAAGCAATTGTGCGATTGAGAAACAGGGTAAAGCAGGTCCCTGAAGCAATTCGGATCAAATTATTATTATTTTTTTGTGCAAATTATTATTATTTTTGCGAATGTGAAATTTGCATTCGAAAATGCAAACGCATCCCACTGACAATAAAAGGGATTTTTACTGGAGAAAATGTATGTAAATCTACTTTGTTCATATTCAGAAGTACGTAACACATTAAGGTGGTATTGAATGGACAGCAATATAGAGATACGCTTACCTTTGCACGGACATTCTCAAATGTGTCAGGACTCACAAGGGAGAAGCAGACCAGAAAGACATCCTGGCAAGAAACAATCAGTTTATGAAAAGCATCCTGAGCAATGTACCTCCCTTTGCTTGGTTTTATCTTATGAATGCTGACTGAACATCACTGACATGTCTAACCCACTGAGAATTAATATGATTGATCACCAGGTATTACATGAATATTACAGGAATTACAGTAATCCTAAACAGTTCCTCCACATGGCAGCTGGAGTACATATAGGGCTGACATATAGTCGATCGTCCAGCTTGTGAGGATGTACATGAGAGCATCCTGTGTGACGTACTTCCACACTGACCATCTCACAGATGACACCTTGACTAATGTCAAACGATTATCTCCTTCCATTCAATGCAGATAATAAACACTTGTAAAAATGGTGAGAAAAAAAATAAATTAAAACAACCAGGCAAAATTAGTATCAAAGAAACATATGGAAAGCAGACAAAATAGCATAAACAGCACAAAAGCAGAAAAAAGGTAAAGGGACAGAAACAAATGAAATACACTGAATAACTGCTGCTGAAAAACACCCTTACTCTGGCAAATTAATAGCATGGGTTTAATCTCAATTCACACCAGAGTGGAGTTTGTGCCAGTGGACTCAACACCACTGTTACTTTTCAACTTTTCACATGAGGCGCACAATGGACCTCACTGGCACAGATGCAGTGCTTGTGACACACAAAGGTTATAGACACTACTACTGTGTGCTTTAATAAGGAACATGGCTTTATCAGGCTTGGGCAGACCTTATACTTATTTACCAACTTACTGTCTGAGGGTAAGCAAGGGGACGCAATCTGTCATAGTCTTCTTGCCCTGCAGTGTCCCAAAGTCCCAGATTCACCGGCTCCCCATCCACCATCACATTGGCGCAGTAGTTGTCGAACCTAAGAGGAGAGAGAAATGTATCAGTGCACTTAAACTGTTACACATGTATTAAGGTGCAGTATCAGCCAATGGGCACTCAGGCAGACACTTACACTGTGGGTATGTATTCTCCTGGGAAGGCATTGTAGGCATAGCTCATCATCAAGCATGTTTTACCCACAGTCCTAGAAGACAATTTTAATACAAAGCACCAGTTTTTTTGTGAGAAAGGAATAATGCTTTTGTTTTTATAAGCCATTATAAAGCAAAGTCTATTACACACATGAAACAAAACTATCAGCATGGTTTGTTTCTTCTCGAATTACACGTGATAAGGTTTTTACATCCATTTATCAAATGATTTTATTGATAGCAACATTCTTTTGAAATAACATGGTCAGCTAGTCCCTGAAGCAATTGGGGTTAAATCCTTCAGCTGATATCAAGACTTGACCTGGTGACCTTCCAAAACCAGGCATCTGTCCTAAACTGCAGACCCATACACTGCCCACCAAGCAAAAAAAACACCAGGGTTTTTGAAGATGATGCAAGTTACTGGTGGAATTCAAAACTAGGACCTCCTGTTTACTAGACAAGTTCTATCACCAGCTAAGCCACAGCACCACCTCCTGTTTTGCATTAAGGTTCCTGTGGAAAATTATTAAATCCAGTTGAACCTTTATCTTCTAACCAATTATACATGTTTTTCTTACATTAGAAGGCTAGCACACAAATAAAACTTTTGTTATTAAACAGCAGTGTTCATTCGCCTGAGTTTAGTGGCACTGCAAAAAATATTCAATGCATTCTGCAATCCAACACCTAGTCAATAGCTGGTAAATACCTGATAAAACACTTAATTTTTGTTCTTTTATTGATATTGCTATTTGATTATGACAGATTTGACCACCTTTTGTTTCACTGCAGGTTATAGTCTGGATACGTTGCATGTGACAAAAATCCTTCAATCGTTACCTGGTTAATGGAGCATTGGAAAAATCATGTGTAGTTCATTGGTGCCTGTACAACTCTTCTGGCAAATACCATAACACGATTAAGTAAACAAAATAGATGGCGGGTACGATCCTGCAAGCTGCCCATGCATAAAGTACCGAAGTATGTTAGCATTTTCAAGAAGTCGGTAGCGATAATACTTTAGAATTTGACAAAAAAAACAAAAAAGAGTCGAATTCTTGTAAATGAAATCATTCGATGAATGCAGCTGTAATTTTAAGATTCATATACTGTACTTGAGATCTTAAGGGAGTCTTAACTGACTGATTAACTATATTTAGACATGTGCAGAAACAACCATATTCAAGCTGATTTTTATTATAACTGGAATGCTGTTACCCAGTTGGTCACCACTGAATAAAGGCACCGTCACCAAGAGTTTAAATGTATTGGTTTAACGTTATCCACTCATTTTGTTTGCTTAAAGAAAATCAGACACTTGGTCACAACTCTGCAAGATCAGAGCAGTTAAGAATTGTCATGGATCCGGGCAGATTTGGTGAATGGGCGTGGCATGATGCAGGCAGAAATGTCGATGACCCACTTGCGGCTGTGTCCTGCCCCAATCGTCCGCTCCTTTCGTGTGCCACGCCCCCTCGTTAACCCGTGTGGAATCAACGTGTCATCAGCTTTCTGGTTGCTGTCATTAGTCCTCTGTATTTAGTCCACGTTTCAGTTTGTTTCCCCAGTCCAGTCATTGTATTGTCTGTCTGCGTTTTGCCTGCCTTACCTGTAATTAAACCCCGTATTCCCCGATACCCTGACGTCTGAGCCTTTGTCTCCGTTCTGTCCCTGCTGGGCACGACAATATTATAATTAAATGTATTAATGGTTTATTATTAATATTAAAATAATTAATAAGAAATCTTTATTTTAAGTGTATTTTATTATATAATAATTACTGTTACTGTCTATCATTGTCTTAATGTATTTGTACTGTCTAAATATATGTATTCAGCTAGTGTAAACATGCAGGATGCTATCACAGCGAATGCCAGGTTGAGACTTAATTAAGCTTACCCTTTGTTTCCGCTGAGAGACGTACCGCGTGACTCATTTCCCCTATCTTAGGTCGGCGTTCACGGTTTGACTTCTGAGATTCAGATCGAGTTCTAGGTATTTTTAATTTTTTTTTTTTCGGAACTTGTTGGTTCGACTTTTAAGAAATTCGAGTTATAATGAGTTCGAGAACTGAGGTACCACTGTATTTTCAAAACAGGTCTTTACAGAAAGATCAACTGTCCATAATCCTGTTAACCAGATAATAATCATCTCAAGAGTGACAGCACATTAGGACATCAGCAAGCAAGCAGTAGTGGAGCTCGTACCACATGCGGATGGCTCTCCACATTCCGGAGCAGAAGGAAAGTAGGGCTCTGCTTGTTGCATAATAAAGAAATTTGTGTATTTCTCGGAAGTTCAGTGCCTCTGCTGAATAAGGAAGGTAAATGACACCATGAACCTGAGCTGGGCCTTTGAATGGCCTTAAACGTATATTTTTGTGTATAATGATTCGTGGCAAATTCCATCTCTAAAACTTTTTTTGCATATGCAATCTCAGCTGTAATTGTGTGGAACTTGAAAGTACTGTACCTATACTGGAAAAGGGGACAATCAATTAACATCATATAACACTGAAATATATAAGGCTAAAGACAACTTTCCAACTACAGATAGTACAAGAGTTGTTAATGGATATTTAAACGCGTTAACAGGTTATTACAGATCAAATGCGTATAACTGATCATACAAGCTTTTCTTTCATGTCTTAAACATATAAAATGACGGACGCAAACTAAACCAAATGCTGCAAGAAATTATTTAAGTCGTCCAGAAGCAGACAGACTTTATGGTGGCTAAAGGGGATGGACATGGATATGGATGGTCAGGCACCCCACGGATACGCTTTTGAACATTTGAACATTTTACAGGAAATCGTTCATTGAGGTGACTGAAGCCAGTTTGGACTAAGCGGGATTTTTAAATGTTCAATAGCCTAACAGACGTAATTGAACAAAGTGCACTTACAGGACAAAACAATTGTTTGGTCAGAGAAAGTTTTTACGGACAGGAATTGGTAGATTAGTTTTAACGCTTAAGCAGATGAACACTGAGGAAATACAGTACTAAGCAGGCAACCGGTAAATCTGAAAATATTACTAAGAACGCTGCGCAACTGGAACTGCTGCTGTAATGTTACACGGGTAGGCTACGTAACCAGTCAGGCGATCGGTAATTCCAAAAAAACAGTAACAGCCACAACAAGAATAATAAGTATTATCTGTACAATAACTATTATCTCCATAGATCAATATGTATGCACGTCGTTCCCCGAAAGAGGCGCAGCAACGGGAATAGAATAACTTGTAGCCAAAATATACCCACCCATGACAGGAGAGGACTGTATTGAAGTACTGATCTGAGCTACGGATCAAAGACGCAACAATAAACTTACCCATCTCCCACAACCACACACTTTAAGGTCTGCATCAGTCCAGCCATACAGTACAGCCACCTAGTTTGCTTGCAAGCTGATACTAAACCTGCCTTTGAACTAGCTGGAAGAACCAAGTGTACATACCTGACGAATAACACATTCTTATGATTATGTCCGGCTTACTAGTTCCTGTCACTTGCAGGATAAACTGGAAGGAACTGGATGATGACAGATGGTGATGATTAATGCGAATGGCAGGGAAGCAGCCTCTTCAGAATCATGAGGTTTTAAGTGTAGCTAAAGCATCCCACTATGAGTGAATGCCTGTGTTTCAATCTCTTGCTAAGATTCATTGCTACTTCTGCCCCCTTTTTGTTAAACCCTTCCTGATAGATTGATATCCAGAAACATTTTGTGGGTGGATCTTGGCCGGGCTATCCCCTTCTCCCGTGCCCTGTGCTGCAGGCCCTCTCGTGACCCTGCCCTGGATCAGTTGGTGGAAGATAGCTGGATTCTGTGATGTAGATTAAGGGCACACATTCTTGGCCCTGGGGGCTTCCTCTTCATGCAGCCTACAGCTCCCATTGTACAGTAAGCATGGAGAAGGCTGAGATATTCATAATCAGAAGGCCTTACTAAAAGGATTGGTAAGTTATTATGTCCATGTAAACACATGTTAGCTGTATAATGTCAGTTGTTTGATATTTTAATTTCACACCACAATCTTGTTGCTGTTTCTGTCCTGCGGGTAGCTAAATAAATAAAAATGTGTTATTATATTATTATTAATGTCTCCTCATTTCCCTCACATGACAGTAGTAGGCTGACATTACAGGTTTCACATTTCACAAACAATGGGCTTAGGCTACTGTGTGATGGGCTTGGCCTGAAATATCATTGTCTAATTAATATTCGAATAAATCTGTTCAAATTCAAATGTCTTTTTAAATGGACTTTTCCAGCCCTATTACAGACTGCTTCCACCCCCACCCTGTCGCCCAAGGTAAGTTCAGACCACAGAGGTGTTTCTCCCGTGTCCCTTTAGAGCAGGAGGCAGTTCCTTTTCTTCTTCTTGGCTGACGGCGGACAGAGTACCGCCCTGACAGCTTCATCAAACACCGTTGTAAGACCCCGCTCAGTGAGGGCTGAAGGGACATACACAGAAATTAGCACATCAAAGATCTTAGGCTTACCGTATGAGGAGAGTATGGATAGAGAAGCTCACCCCCATTTGTATAAACTCAAGGCGCATCTGCAGCAAGAAAAATAGGTTAAAGATTATATAGTATATAGTTTCCTGGAGCATCTACAGAACACAGCCCATTATTTTGCACTTTCCTTGTGCACACTGTGTTTAAGGGCTTTTACTAAAGGGCCCCAAGGTGGAATTATTCTGCAAGCCCTGGGCTTTCAACCAGCATGTTTTCGATCATAGGCACACCATCCTAACCCACTGAACCACACACCAGGGATGCTATATTTAAGCTCTACAATGCATGGGCGTTCGGGCAGACACTTACAATATGGGATTATTCTCTTCCGGGACAGCACCGGAGATGTAGCTGATCATCAAGCATGTTTTACCAACAGCCCTGGAAAATATGAAATCGTATTGTAAAACACCACATTTTTGTTTACTGTGTATATTATACATATATATTTCATTAGAAAGGAAAAGTGTTTCTGTTTATATATTGCAATTTAAAGTGAAGTTGGTTATATTCATGAAAGAAAGTTTCAAGAAAGTTAAATTAGGGCTGGGCAAATAATTACATTTTAATTACAATTACCATTTTGGTTTTCAACAATTATCAAAACGAAATAATCAAGATAAAACAATTATTGTGCTGTGTTTTGTTTTGCAATGATGCTCACATTTTGTTTTGTGTTAGAAATCCACCGCACCCCTTTCAAGCTCCTTTTTGCTTGTTTCTCAGTTTAATTACATTAGAGTTCAAAGAAATCCACTGTTAAAAATGTAAGTTTTTTAAAAGTTCGATAAATGCATATTTCTAGAGTCAACGATTAATTGAGATGATTGTGATCTCATTATTAACCAAAATAATTGTGATTATGATTTTTGCCATAATCAAACAGCCCTAGGTTAAATAGTTTTTCAGACCATGGGATTTGAACTGGCAACTGTGTGCTGAGTCCTAATCTGCAGAGCTACACACTGCCAGGGCCTTTGAGGTTGACCAAGATAAAGTTCATTTCATTATATCCATCCTTCTTTTTACACCAAACCCACCTTATGTTTACTGCCAAAAAGCTCCATTTTTGCTTAATCAGACCATTGAATTTGGTTCCAGTCAAAGTTGTAGTAGTGTTTCACAAACCCCAGGTGCTTACGTTTGTGGTTAACTGACAAAAAAAAAGCATTTTCTGGCATACCTTCCAAATAATCTGTTAGCATGAAGGGGGCGGCTGATAGTTTTTTCGGAGACATGGTAACCCCAAGATTTTACTTGCTATTGTAATTCACCAACAGTCATGCTTGGGGAGTTTTTTGCCTCCCTTATGATCCTCCTAATAAACTTGGGTCCTCTTCCAGGCAGGTTTCTAACAGTTCCAGTTGTTGACCACTTTTTTATTACTGCCCTAACAGTAGAAACGGGCATTTTAAGGCAAGTAGCTATTTTTTAATACCCATTCCCTGACATATGAAGGTCAACACACTTCTTCCTCATTTGGTTTGTATATTCTCTTATGTTTCCCATGTTGATGGATGACTAAGGGAATTTGGGCTCTGTGTCACCTCATGTTCGTATCCCTGTTAAACAAGAAGTCATGGATTATAACTTCCATCCATCCATCCATCCATCCCTACGTTTACCAGCTGTTCTATGATTCCTGCCAATTAGTCTTGTGTATTTCAGGGGCTGTGTATTTTTCAGCCTGGGGGCATTCTCAATCTCCACTTCTTCCCCTGTTGTAAATCAAGAGGAGCCCCTCCTGATTTTGAATCTGGTGGTATTTACCCTGGACGACCCCGTCGCTTCGCCCAAGCGGGCACATGACACCCAGACCTCCGTTTGCTCTTTGTTAAGGACACCCTGGCATTTAAAGGGGCCAAGTCTGTGGAGGATGCTATCCCACGGATCCCCAATGCCTATAAAGGAGCTGCACCCGCCACCTGGGCACAAACCCTGGCTCCAGGTCCTGTGGTTCTGGTGCCAGCGGCTGATGCAGTGCCCCCTGTGGTAGCTTTAATATTATGTGTTTTATACTTTATTTATTCATAATTGCACTGTGTCCATTCACTGCCAGTGACAGTGACAACTGGGTTATTGAATGTGAATTGCACACACAAACATTTAACTATTAATTAAAATTCACACATAAAGAAGTCTGGAATATACCAGCTGTCTTGCCTACAATCATTGGCAGTGAATGGGTGCAGTGCAATTATCAATGAATACGTATAAAAACACATATGAAAGTTGTACCTTGTGCATTGTCCACCATAATTTGAGTGTTCAAAGCACACTTAACTGTATATGTCCGTATCGTTTAGGTTTATACTTTAGACCATTAACACTATGTTTCGTACTTTAAACGGATACAATATAGTTGTTATTGGTGACGCAAACGTATTGCTAGGGAACGCAAAACTATTATAAAAATATTTCCCCTCCCTGACTTAAGGTCTCTGTACAAATGAGACGTTATACAGGCTGTTAAAATACTGTAATGAATGGTTCTGTGTTGCGTTTTTTTTTTTTTTTTGGGGGGGGGGCAGTCATTCGAATATATTCAAACAAATTGCATGACATCCGAAATTTGTTCTCACTTGATTTTTGAAAAAAAGTGACTGCCATACACAGTACATAAATCACAAATTTTATTCAAATTCCAATTTATTGATTTTAAAATCAGCAACTTACATTTTTATCATTTGAGCAGCCATATTTACTCTTCACCAGAAACATTACAATCAAGTGTTTTAATTGTGCGATTCGAAAGCTGTTGATCAGTTTAAGGATGATAGTCTGAAATATTCAGATTTCCATCAATGGGAAAAAGAACAGACCATTTCAAGTAGGTCTACTTCCACCGGCACATTAATAAAGTATCAAAGTAATAAAGAAAATCAAATGCATAACAGGATATATGATATTCAGTGAGGTAGGATAATACAGAAACTTAAAGCTAACTCAGAATTTTTCTCTTTTTGAAAAGAAATATTAGAACAAATGTTATGGATATACAAGTAAAAATCAGTGTAGAACAGTTGATGGATGAACAATCAAAAAAAAAAAATCCCAAAACAGAAAAATTGGAGTCATCAGAGATTTTATGTCTTGGCTTTACAATATCCTTTGCTCACAGAAATAACTAAAAAGCACTATATAATGCTTCCATGCAGAGAATTCCTCCACATCAGATGAAACACAGTTGCAACACAACCATTCATAGCAGAATGATGATGCGACTTGGACGTTGAGACAGGTTACCATGGGGACACTGCTCCACTGAGCACGGGTACTGCTGGTGGTTCCGGATACCTGTGACATATGCTGATTTGTATCCAAAGGAACTATTTTCATAATTACAACAATACAGGTCATGTAAAATACCCATCTAAACTTATTGGGTTTCATTTTACAAGTGGGTGTGATTGAGTAAAATATGTTTTTTTGTCAGTTTTGCCTAAGAAATACATGGGTTCTTAATAGGAATTAAATAATTGCTGCTTAATCATTTGCATTAATAGATACGATTTGTCCACATAAAACAACTGCAGAAACTTTTTTCTAGTGATATGCCCCACATTCAATCAACTCTATTAAGCCTAAAAAGGCACTGGTTTTTCCAAAAGCCAGCATACAAAGGGGGTCCCAGTTACAATACTGGGAAGCAGTGCTATAAAGTGCTGCAAGTATTACCAAACACAATCCAGACTGTAGATCGGTGCATCGAACAGCACCCAGTTCTTAAATCACATTTATTCCGATAAAGCGCTTTGATATGACCAAAATCCCCACTTAACCAGAGCTACCTCTGAAGCTGGTCAACCCCAGGCTTAATGCACAAAGCTTTTAATTCACAGCATACGGAAAAGATTCTCTGTGGATAATGAAGTGTTAAAATGGCCACATATATATTAGTGTTCCCCAGTCACGATCTTTTAGGTGTAGTTATACTTTGGCAATACCTTTACTAAATACCTCTGAAGACTGGAAGCAATATGGGCTTTACATACTATGAGAAACATTATACCTTACAGTTTTCTGAAAAGCTTGCACAATACAGTGTGTTTTTTTCCCTTTATGAGTGTGCAGGGGTTAGGGTTGGGCAATCATCCCACTTACCGTAAAATAACTATAAAAGGAATATTTTATTCAGACGATCACAATTACCGTTAATTACGAGAGATACATACAGGCTTCCCCAACCCCCACCCTGTCGCCCAAGGTGAGCTCACCACAGAGGTGTTTCTCCCGTGTCCCTTTAGAGCAGGAGGCAGTTCCTCTTCTTCTTCTTGGCTGGCGGCGGACAGAGTACCGCCCTGATAGCTTCATCAAACACCGTTTTAAGACCACGCTGAGTCAGGGCTGAGCACTCCAGGTACTTCACCGATCCTGTCCGGTGGGGGGGAGGGCACAAGGGACATACACAGAAATTAGCACATCAAAGATCTTAGGCTTACCGTATGAGGAGAGTATGGATAGAGAAGCCCACCTCCATCTGTACAAACTCAAGGCGCATCTGCACCAAGGAAAACATTCAAAATTTTACAGCATACAGTATGATGCAAAATTCTGAAGGCAGTCCAAGAAAATGATGTTAAAATGATCTTTATATTGGTGTAAATCTACAAATGTATTTTTGTCAAAGTAAAATTTAATGAATATATGGCTGATATGCCCCTGAGGAGAGGTTTGGGAACTGAAGTGGTATTCCTCTAGCCTACTAAGACATCAGTAACTTTTTGGAGAACTGAAGAAATGCTTAGTTTTTAAATGTCACTGCTAATTTGCATATACTCTAATGTTAAATTGTGTGTTTTTTTTTTCCCCGAGCAAATACACACTTACTACCCAGATAAATAGCTTTAAACATCTTCTTTTACTGCCTAGGAATTTTGTCTGCACTTGAATAAAAACCTACTGTTGGATCATCATGGTTATCCTAAGCATGGACACGCCTTTTATCTGAAGTCAGAAATATGCTCCAAGATAAACAAGTAGGTGACCTAATAGAGCATGAAATAATTTCCCACAGATTTAAGGATCTGGATTTAGGAGATTAAAGTCACAAACCGATTTCTTTAGCCATGGCCAAACCCTGAGGGTAGGTGATAGGGGTGAGTTTCTTCTCTCTCAGCTTCTCAATGGTAGCCTTCTCATCCCTCAGGTCAAGCTTGGTGCCTACAAGGATGATGGGAGTGTTGGGGCAATGGTTTCTGACCTCTGGATACCACTGCAGAGAGAACAGGGCCATCAAGCCTTAGTTATCGTGTCACTAGTATATACACACATTTAAACACACAATCAGCTGTAGAGCTCATGTTGCACATCTCCTCGGATGGTTTGAATGCCTAACTTATGGGTCTTTAACACTGGTAAACAGCACACATTTCTTCATTTTGTTATGTAGCATGTTCCATATACCATTTGTGTTCTGGTGAGCATAAATGCCTCTCTTAGTATCAATGTTTCAACTTCATATTTGTTATTTTTGAGTATGAAATTTGCAGACATTGCAAAAAGAACCAATCAACAAGGGCATTTGGTTGGAGAAAATGCATGTAAATTCACTTTATTCATGAGCAGAGGTACAAAACTAACACCAAGGGTTATTGTCCTGAATACACCACACTTTACAGGCAGTAATAACTCTTTGGGAAGAGACGCTTACCTTTGCACGGACATTCTCAAATGAGGCAGGACTCACAAGGGAGAAGCAGACCAGAAAGACATCCTGGCAAGAAACATTCAGTTTATGAAAACCATCCTGAGCAATGTACCTCCCTTTGCTTGGTGTTATCTTATGAATGTCTTATGACTCAACATCATTGACATGTCTAACCCACTGAGAATGAATGTGATTGATTTCCAGGGAATAACAGGAATCCTAAACCACTAACAGCAGCCTATCAAAACGTACATGAGAGCATCTTACTGTATGTGAAATACTGCTACTCTAACCACCTCACAGATGGCACCTCAACCAATGTCAAACGGTTATCTCCTTTTACATATGCAGATAAGCACATGTATAAATCCTGAAAAAAATCCAGATTTACATTTACAGAAGTGGGTGGGATTGTATTTCAGGTAAAATATTGGTCAAAACTAGAAATTACAAAAAAATAAAGCACTCGACAGAGTACTGCTTTGGGTGTTCTATAGGAAGGGACTGTGGCAAATAAAGAATACTGACTAACTGCTGGTACTGAACGTCCGTAGGCTGGCGAAGTGACAGAATGAGCTTAATCTCAAATCACAGAGCTCCATTACAAAAAGCAGTCAATGCTCATTGGTTGGTGAAACAGAGTGGGGTTTGTGCTGGAGGACTGGAACATCACAACCCAATTCACTTTTCAACCTTCCACATAGAGCACAACAGACTCTGCTGGCACAGATGTAGTGCATGCAACACACACACAGTCAAAGTTTAGAGAATGATCTATAAACATTAGTAAATAAACACTAATTATCATCACCGACACATGCACTCACTGAGTCACCCTCTCAGCAAACGTTATAGACACTACTACTGTGTGCTTTAATAAGGAACATGGCTTTATCAGGCTTGAGCAGACCATATACTTATTTACCAACTTACTGTCTGAGGGTAAGACAGGGGACGCAATCTGTCATAGTCTTCTTGCCCTGCAGTGTCCCAAAGTCCCAGGTTCACTGGCTTCCCATCCACCATCACATTGGCAGAGTAGTTGTCGAACCTAAGAGGAGAGAGAAATGTATCAGTGCACTTAAACTGTTACACATGTATTAAGGTGCAGCATCAGCCAATGGGCACTCAGACAGACACTTACACTGTGGGTATGTATTCTCCTGGGAAGGCATTGGTGGTGTAGCTGATCAGCAAGCATGTTTTGCCCACAGCCCTGGAAAGCATAGAATTTTGTTATAAAATAACAGGCTTTGTTTTACCGAGTGTTTATGAGAAAGACCAAAGGCTCTCAATATTTACGAGAAAAATGAAAGCAAAGTCTGCTACATTCATAACACAAAGTTATCAGCGTTCAGGTATCAGTGTATCAGCTGTGTTGCTATTTCTGCTACAGTTCCAGTAAATGTTTTTGTGTCAACATTTCTGTGGGCAAGTATTAAATCCAGTGGAACATCTAGATTGTACATCATGAAACAGTTGTATATATGAAGTAAAATTTACATTCAAAGGAAAAAAACGTAATATGAGGCTAATGAACATACCAATTAAATAGTTATTAAACAGTTTCTCATTCATCTATTATTTTAAGATTCCAACACTAAGATCTTATAGGTGTCCAAACTGACAGTGATCAGGATATTCAAGAGAGACAAAAATTCAGCTGCCTTAGAGGTACTAGATAATTTGCATACAGATATGTGAATATTTCAAGATTCAAGATTCTTTAATTGTCACATACATAGTTATACAAAGTACAACACCTAATGAAATGCATCCTGAACTGCACTTTTGTAGACTGTGCAAGTTAAAAAATCCAATTATGTTAAAGTGCAAGAAGCTAAAATGCAAGCAGATTTAGGTGCACTTGCTCACAATCCAGAAAGATCAGAGAGGTTAAGTATATGTAGGGAGGTCTTATCCAAGTAAAATCAATAAATCAGTTTTTAATACTGTCATTATAACATAGCATGTGAAGACAGTATTCAATAAACGCAGGGAAAGAAGCACACTGAATGTATAACGCTAGAGTATTTCCAAAACAGCACGTTTTCAGGTATTTACAGAAAGATAAAGTCCTCAATCTATAAGATCATCAGCACGTTAGCAAATCAACAGAGGGCAGAGGAGCCCATACAAATGCCAATAGCTACACTTCCCGGAGCAGAGGGAATGTACAACCCTGCCTGTTGCGTAATAAGGAAATGCGTGTATTTCTCACAAGTTCATACCTCTGCGGAATAAGGAAGGACAGGTAAATGGCAATATGTACCCGAGCTGGGCTTTTGGATGGCCATAAGCTTATGTGGGAGTAACAAAGCTATCATCGTTGTTTATAGGGATTCCTGGCAGCCTCCTTCAATTTATGAACATATACAACCCCGGCAGGCATTATGCAGCTTTGAAGCACCTATTTTGGAAAACTGAGAATCTCTTTACGTTATAAAACGTTATACAAATGAGTATAACTGCCCAAACAAGCTTTACTTTAATTTCTTTGATAAACATACAAAGTATCAGACATGTCAACCGAAGGCTATGAGGGTACCGTCCGTTTAGAAGCAAAAACAATACTTTGTAATTACAGCTAAAGGTAAAGGACATGGATGCAGATGTTAAGACCCATATGAATGCTTTCACTAATGTGCATTTTATGTGAACATGTTTGTGGAGGTGATGAATGCCAGTTTGGACTAAGCCGTGCATTTGGTTATAGAATGCGTTACACGCAGGTATTTGTAAATCAGTTTTAATACTTAATCGGTGTTTAATACGAGTCAATTAGAGGAATGCAGATGAAATATTGAGTAGGCATCCGGTAACACCTTTAATTTCATTGCATTACAGGGAGCACTGTGCAGCGTAGACTGGATCGCAGCTATCTTCATTTTACACAGGTACTTAACCAGCAGCGGGCGAAACTACATTAACAATAGATCTAGACAGGCAGACAGTTATAAATTTCGTTTCCTGAAGAAGTTTAAGAGGTTGGAACACCAGAGCTCTAAAAGAAGCAACGACGGGAACAGGAGTAATAGTTATCCACCGTGACAAGAGGTGACAGGGAAAGTGTAGCGAAATAATAATTATAATAATAGTATGTCAATAATAATTAAACGACCTAGACAGGATAATTATACACGTCATTCCCCGATAGAAGCAACGACGAGAAGCGAATGACAATATAGCCCTTGTAATGAAGTATAAGCTATTCACCCGTGAATGGAGGGGACCGGGAAAGTGCAGCGAAGTTGCGACCTGAACTCTGACTTCCAGATTTATCAATGAAAACGGACGAAAAACAGGGACCACGGGACAGCGGCTGATGGGACAAACAAAAAATTAACTTACCCGTCTCCCACAACCACACATTTTATGGCCTGCATCAGCCCGAACCTATGGAAGATTCACCTAGTTTGACAAGTACCAAGCTAGCCAGCTGATATTAAACCTGCCTTTCAAGTAACTAGATCAGTCCTTGTAACCAGATGTTAGCCACGCTAAAGTCACAAGTAAAAGTAACCAAATGCAGAAAATATCTACAGGAAAATAATGCTTAAACCTCCCCCGGCCTACGCATCCCACATTAGCTGCAGCAGAATATCGGACTGAAACTCCAAAACTTGAATCGAGCAGCCACCACCCAATTCCAAGCTTAAGAAGCTCCGCCCTCCCGGACACCGGAAGTGGCGGCTCCAGTTCTTCATGGATCATTTCCGGTTACTTTTGCCAAACAGCTGGGGTACTGGGGGACAATCATGCAGTGCCACTGACAATGTAACATTCACGAATATAGCATATTTAAATAACCGAATAGAATATAATCTAGAGTAGATGAGGGTTGAAAGATGCGGCGATTAAATGCATCGATCTGTAACAATTTTCGGGGCAAAATTCCTCCTTAAAGGTACTCCTACTTCCGAGGAGGACGCTCTCGCGCTCACGTGCTGCAGGTAGACGCATAAAATGGCAGTCCCCAGCACGCGCATTTCTGAAAGGAAGTGCTACCCCATGGTAATTGCGCTACGGTGCTTTTGGGAAATGACTCTGTTTCGCAGCGCAGGCTACCATAGCAGTGTGCTATGGTAAAAAGTAGTGTTTAGCCTTAGAGATGTACGATGTATTGAGTATCATATCGTGCGATATTCGTTAAAAATCTAGATACAGGTGTTATGCCGAAAAAGGCATGCCTGCCTTAGAATGCATGCCGGTGTTCCGACGAGTTGAGCCTTTAAGGATTTTTTGGGGGTCAGGGTTTTTTTTTTTAGGGGTTAGGGTTAGAATTTTAGGGGTGTTTTGGGGGTTAGGGTTTTAGAGGTTTTTTGGGGGTTAGGGTTTTACGGGGTTTTTTGGGCTATTTATTAGCACTACGCTAGCCTTACTCGACAAAGTAGCTCAACTCGTTTCAGATCAGCGACCAATCGGTCATTTAGAGACAGGCATGCATTCTACGGCAGGGATGCCTTTTTCGGCATAACACCTGTTTTCTGTCGATATATGCTGCCTTGTCGAAAAATGCTACCGTAGTGCTAATCGATAGCCCTAACCCTAAAACCCCTACCTTAACCCTAACCCCTAAAACCTAACCCTAATCCCAAAACGGTAGAACTGCACATGCGCAGAAAGGCTCGATAGCACGTCTCGATAGGTAGTATTTTTCGACAGAACACCGGCACCTCCCTTTCCCGACAGGTAGCTTCCTTTAATATGTCTGTTTTTTCCTGTACTGTTCAGTAGTTGGCCTCTTATAGTTTAACTGTCGTGTTTTCCCTGTTTAATAATAACAGTAAAAATAATGTTCTGAGATTCTGCTTTATTTGTATCACATTAGTATTGTATAATGAAGTTCCCCATGGTAATATTTGTGATAATTATCATTAAATTAATTTTAAATAAAAAGCTTCATATCCATTTTTTCTTTTTCTTGTCTTATTTTTAAAAGATTAAACATTTATAAAAATTGTCCTTGATTCTTTATTCATTTATTTCATTTGTCATTTAAATTATTCGGTGTAGTTCCACCTTATTGTGTTATTTGCATGGTATTTAGTTTGTACAGCAGTTTTTGGTCGACTCCCATTTTAAAAGTGTTCTATAAATGAACGTGACTTGGCTTGACTTTTCTCAGTTTTACACAGATATTCTTTTAGCCATAGTAAACATACTCATTGTTTATAGACAGTACTGCAGAAAGAGCATTTCATGTAATGGGGCTGTAATCATACTAAAATAACAGTGATTGGAAACATTGCAGACAACTTATTTCTGATTGTTACATTAAAATACTTTTATAGTGTTCAAATGTTAATTATATTGTACTGACATGAATGCTATATGTAAGCACTGACCTACAGCAGCTAGCATCTTCATGGCATGGAGTTCTCGGCAGAATTTCTTCTGTAATAACAGCCTGAGTTTAGGGCTGTCACTACCGATTATATCAATAATTGAGTAATCTACCGATTAATATAACTCATCAGTCTGATTTGTCGAGTAGTTTAATCATAATATACAATATAATATATTTTGCAATTGGTTCACACTGTCACACATATTGTTAATTTAGGCTCTCCAATTCACTTAAGTTTTTATACAGTGAAAGGAAATCGGAGAATCTGCCTGGAAAAGCACCCACACACAGGGTGACCATAGAAATTCCAGACACAAAGTATCGGTGTGCAGCGCGCTATCCACTGCACCACTGTACTACCCCCAATAAGCTTGCTTGATGTGTGATGTTAATATCGACGTGCCATTTCAGTCATTTGTCACATGGTAAGGACTACAATAATTTGCTGGGTTCAAGCCATCAATAAGTTGCGCTAAAACATTTTTCCTCAGTCATAATAAATCAAACTTCGCAAGCGCTACACTTTTAGTGATGGTTCCTTTTCAACTGTGTTACAAAAAAAGTTTACCGCCGCTATTTTTGCATGAGCTCTCGGTGTCGATCATAATCATTCTCCTGTTTGCTGTTGGTCTCATTCATAGATTTTGTGGCGAGTTTGTGAGAAATTAAAAATAAGTGAGGAGAAAAGCAAACAAGAACTGGTCAGGAAAAGACATTTCTCTTCCGCTGTATGTAACCTCATGTTACTGGGTCAGTCCTTCAAAGTTGAATGTCTTCTTTTAAGATGTATTTGCATTGCAGTGGTGCTGGGGTGATATTTAAGTTCTGCATTGCAATGCAGATACTCCTCACTTAACAACCTACCTGTTTAATGACTTACAGCATAGTTGAACTATTGGTAAAGGATGGCGACTCCTCGCTTATCGACCAATTCGCTTAAAGACCTAGTCATAGGAACAGTACACCATCGTTAAATGAAGAGTGTTTGTACTGACAGATGATTGCATTTTCATTCACTTTTAATCTGAAGTGCCTTCGCACAAATGTTGCTTTCGCTCTCTATTAGAACCCTTTTCCACTATGTGCAGTCTTTCTTCTGCATTATTGCGGAGTAATCTCAAAGGAAATTTTCTATCGATGCTTTTTAATATTCGAGTAATTGAGTTTAATCGAGTAATCGTAACAGCTTTACCTGAGTTCTGTTGAAGCTATATAAAACTGCTTTAGAACTCACTAAAACAACTTGCGCAAACCCCAGTAAATATAGGAACACTATAATCACTAAATGTTTATATACTTTCATATTGCAATATATATATATGTGTGTGTGTGTGTGTGTGTGTAATAATACCAATGTATATACCTTTTTCCTTTTATAAAATGATCTATTATCTATCTCCTTTTTGTGTGCTTCTAAATTTGCACACTAGAGGGCAACATGTTCTGATTTTGTTATGCAAGCCACTCAATCCTCAGTGGATCCATGTGTAAGGATGGCTAAATAAACTTAAATATGGAAACAGCTGGAGTTAAGACTACAGTTCAGTAGATACTTTTGGAGATCTTTTGTGGTGAGGTTATCTTTGAAAGTTAAGTCTTTGCTTTGGCATTGAGTACTATATTATAGACTCTAAATACATTACTAAATATAGGATCAAATGCTTTATTCCCATGCAAATAATCAAGCTTGTCATTTAAGTTTTTAAGTGTATCCTTCTAGTTAAACACTACATGTACTTAGCAGTTGACCTAAAATGTACAAATAGTAAATTATGATGGACTTCATCAGCTGAAGTTGTTGATGAGGATTATTTAATCATACTTCTTTGCTACTTGTGGATCATGTGTATGGTTCAGGATTAATACCGGCACATTTTACAGAGGTTTCAAAATACAGCGAACCTACTTGCTAACCTACTTTTGACACTTAGTGCGTTGTTAAGTGTGCTCTTTGCAAAGAGAAAATTGCTGACACTTTAAATCTCAGCCTTATCCAGCAACTTTAGAACAAGTAAAGCTGAGATCTACCACTGCAGCTCATAGCTCTGGTTTATTTCCCCCCTCTCTCCTTCAATTTCTGTTTCAATGCAACTGTTAATTAATCAGTGTTGCCATGGCAACTGCATCTCCATGTGGCAATCCCCCTTCCCCCCATTTATGTCCTTATTCCAGTAAAGAAGAGGATTACGTTTTGTGGGATTTGCTTGGAAAAGGGGTTTTAATGTGGTAAACAACATTAAGGGGTGGCCTAAGAAAGAGATCATTTAAAGAATAAGCAGTTTTATCAGTATGTTGAGCTCAGCAGGGCATCATCAGCATGAAGGAAAGTGAAAATGAAAAATGAAGAGACCACAGTTAAATACTTCAGGCTATGCAGAGCAGTTAGCTTCAGTTTTAATGTACTTTTACTATTGCAATGCTAAGTTCACTTGTGCCTCTGTCTGGTAAAGTTACAATGTTTTTACCTGAGTGGGTGTTGCTTGTGTGTATGGTTATCTGCTTTGTTGTAAAGAATTTGCTTTATTTTCAACATTGTGAAAATACCTGGACTGACAATGTATGTGTCAGATTGTCAGTCCCGGTAGCTTCACATTTTATTCAGTTATGGTATTTTCTCATGGGCAAGGTTCAATAAAACAAGTAACTTAGTGAAGTGTTGTTCCGAACCTTTGTTTGTTTTATTGCCCCTTGAAGTTTCAGCCATTGGTATTCAACATTACTGGAGCGTTATTTGTTCCGATGACATTAGCTTGTGAACGTGTAATACTAAGTGTATGCGATCCTATATCTATCAAATAAAGGAAGAAAAATGTTGCAGCAGGAAGGACTGGCTGTTTAAAAATAAAATAATGAGGTAAGCATTTGGCAAGATAAGACTTTCCTTGTATTGTCATTCTCTGGACCTCACAGCCAAGAGATATTTGCCTACAAGTGTAATCAGCAGTCTGCAGACCGTTAATATGTAAATATATAACTGATTGTTAGGGAGAAACTGATGATTTTCTATTGCTGGATAGTTTACCTGCCAGTATGCCAATGTAACTGGAGAAAGTAAAAATCTGGCTTCAGTTTCTGGTGCAAGTCCTGCAAAATAAGCAGTGAGAAGTATCTGACGTATTTTAATGTGTAAATAGACAGGTTGTGGGGTTTTTGGCCTGAGACACCCACCTGCAGAGTCAGCATGTAACAATCAACATAGTATTAAATAAATACTGTACAGACATGGATTGCTGTACTTAATTGATCATGACTGGGAAATTATTTTACAGCAGCAAACATAAATTAGACAGTACACATAGTTTCAGTATAGGAAAAGGAAGAGCTTGAGATAAAATAAATAAATGAGAAATCAGCATGTACTGGTGAAATACATCCTATGAGGAATCACATATATAGGTAAAGGTACTGGAATAATCCTCTCTATGCAACAGTAATTGGAATAGCTACAGGTGTCACAGGTAGTGCAAGTATAGAAGATATACAGTGTGCAGTGTAAACAGTGTGTGTATATGCAAATGATTATATATACACATATATGTTTGTGTGTGTATGTATATCTGAGAATACACTATGACATAAGTGTTTACATTTTGCGCTATTGTTAAGTAATCATGCAGATGTATTATGCATAGAGATATGAAGGTACTGCACTGTAGTTCTAAAGAATTTCAGGGTGCTCAAGCATCATTTTGTGGTTGTGGCGTTACATGTCTGAAAACATCCTCCATAATAAAGAATAATGTCATTTTCTGTAATATTATTACAAGAGGAACAAGATGTAATTGGAGAAGCTGTTTGGTGATTTGAAGTTATTGTTTTGTAATGTTAGACTATGCCATGCCTGAACGTGATGGCTCATAGAGAGTGTGCAGCACACAGAGCTCAGAAATCATCACGTTTTCTGCAGCCAGGCTCTTTAGAGGGAATCCTTTCTCCTGCTCATCACTAAAGACGAGATGCTTCTAGTATAACTGAAAATCAATATAAATGGTAACGTGAAAAACAATACACTTGAACAGCAACGTAGAATGACATTGGTGAAAGCTCTAATCTTGATGGCATATATAACCTTGTTAGGCCTTGTATTTCTTCATCAGCCTCTCTTTCTCTGTTTTTCCTCTCTCACTTTATCACAGACGTTGGCAGCAATGTTTCTTCTTAGAGTGCTGCAGCTGTGTGGGTGATGCATCACTGAAAATCTGCACTGGGAAAATTGCCTCGGCTTTAAAAATAAACATCTTATTTCAGAAAGATGTCCGCGTAAACCTCTACCAGAGATATGTCTCTCTGGATTTGGTGAAGAAGAAGAACCGGTTTCTGCAGTTTTCACTGGAAATGCTTCTTTTCCATATCTTCAGATCAAGTTTAAAGCCTCATTTTATACAGTCTTTGTAACTGTGACTATTCGCCCTAGTGAGTGAGTGCTGTGTGGACTTTCCTGAAATTGGTTTGTATAATGACGAATTACATGGTGGTCAATCTTATCCACAAAGGACCGGTGTATGTGCAGGTTTTTGGGATAACCTTTAGGTCAACCGTTCAAACCCAGGTGTGAGAACACTTTAACAAGTCTATCTTCTAATTAATAATCCAATTAGAGAGTTACACTGAAAATCCACATACACAACAGCCCTTTCTGGATAAGATTGGCCACCCCTGTATTACATTAACCTTTCCCTGACTCCTAGCGTATATACAATATCTTGGCTATAATTTAGCTTTTACATTTATATTTACTGTATTTGGCAGATGCGCTTAGCCAGAGTGACTTACATAAGTGCTTAGAAGTCTCATCAGTGAATACATTCTGATCCTGGTTCAATAAAACCTGACTAAGAATACTATCACTCTAAAAACTCTGTTGGCAAGTAATACAGTTTTTTTGTTTTTTTTTGGGCTGGCCTTTAATACAAGGTGGCAGTTTACCTGAGATTTCCCCCGTCATCCTTCTTCACAGAGATCTGTTTCTCTCCTTCCTCAAGTCATTCTCACAAGGAGGCAGGAAGTTGGTAACAATCCATCCCAGTCTCTGTGGGGGTGCCTCTTCTGACCTAGGACTTAAGAATGGAGTGGGTTGCAGACTCAGGCACAATTATCCTGGACAAATTCCCAGTTTTAATTAATAGTCTTTGCAATGTTTTGCTCTTCAGGGGTTCCAGGCCCCTGTCGTATTTTGGAAAACAGATTAATAGCTGAGCTGGATAAATGGAAAAAATAAGGTTCCAGATACAAACCTTTATCAATCCCTTGTGACATATATGGTGATGTCACCCTCTTTATCCTCATGTTCAAATGAGTTTCATTTGGTCAAGAATCAAAGCAATTTTGCGCAGGCTCTGACATTATGCTTGTAGATGGAGAATCCTTAAGTGTGTGTTGCTTTATTTTTTTATTTAATTCTGTGCTCACCCAACTAGTTTCCCACAAACTCACATTCACCTTCATACATCACAATCCTGTTGCTTTGAGCTTGGTTACCATAGAATCTGAATGATCATAAATGCTCACTTTCATCACATCATTTAACATTGGTAATTAGTGTGTGATCATATAAAGAAACTTATCCTTAATAAACATTGTTTTCTGTAGCCTTCCATTAGATAAGCAATACAGAATATGAACGAAAGGACACGTTTATTAATGAAATCCAAACTTAATTTCTGTTTATTGTCACCTGTCTATTCCTTGAGGTCCTTCTCTATCCTGTTACTTTTTCCTTACAGCACCATCATTTCATTAATCCAGCATTGGATTCTCCGGAGACTCCATAACTATCCTAATGATCCAGGTTTCATATTTTGATAACCTTGTTAGCTGGACGAAGAGCATTGATCCAATAATTGATGTCAGTGACCATTCTTGACCTCTGTCACAGATGATGATTTGTGATCCCCTCACTTTCAGTGTATTGGCAAGAATTTAATCATCATGGTAATTCAGTCACACCTACCCCTGTGCAAAAAATACCAAGGTCAAATTACACCACTCAAATTACTTAACAACAGCAAATGTATATAACCACTGCAGTAATCGTATTAATATAAATACATGTACCTGAACTAGCACAATATATCTATGAGAATTAATAAAGTCAATAGAAATTACGTGATTTCATTTTATTTGGAATTTTACAATATTTCTATCCAATATACATTCACTTTCTACAAGTTTTTAAATAAAGTTGCTTCTGCAAAGTGGTGCACTTCCTGAAGGTAAACTTCCATTCGTCCATCCATCCTCCAAAGGAGGAACCAATACAGGTTTGCATGAAACACTGGAAGCATGAACTTTATATGAAATTTGCATGTTGCACATCAATGAAAACTTCAGTGATACGTGTTACAGGAACAGAAACAGACATACATCTATCAGTTTTTCAAACAGCTTTCCAACCTATACAGGGACACAGAGAGAAATACTTTGTTTGATGATGACAGACTTTGCAACGTATATCATCATCCATTGGTTGAAAGAACACTGGGTCAAGACAAGGAATGGGTTCCTTCTCTCCAGGAAGCACTGACGTTATCCTCACGGTATGCAAAAGGGAGATAATCAGAAAACATTGACGGGACTCCGGAAAAACTCTGGAACACTCTCATGATATGCATGATATGCATCAAACACTCACTGATTTCTTGTCGGTGTTAATAAAGGATTGTCCAATTCATTAACGCTACAATACTGGAGAGGGGAAGAGGGCTATGTGGAGAAATGGGAAATGATGGGGTTATGGCCAAGTGACATCATCGCCCTCTGATTGACATCTACACTGGTCATACATCCTGTTCTAAGGGTGTTTCCTATGTCCTGGTGAATGTTCACCACCCTACAATTGTTACTTTTCTGTTTTTGCATTTGCACTAAGCAAGTGTCATGCTTTAGTTTAACATGACAGACTCTAAGTCAGTAACAGGCTTATTAAACTGTAATAGTCAGCAAATGGTTCCTGGCGAAAAGGGTAGTCTAAGTTATAAGTCGGACAGCACTGTACATTAATAATGATAAAATTAAGCAGAGGAAGTGTGGGGTTAGATTTCACTATGGCTTGACGCGGATCGACCATATGTGTATAGCTGATCGTTCCGGATTCACTTTGATGATTCTGCATTTTGCTGCAGAAATATACAAAGGAAGCTTCACCAGGAAGCTAGTGCTGTAGGGGATCTTCCCAGAAAGAAGGCAGCAGTGAGTATTCTCCGGGAAGGGGCTTGGCTTGGCCCTTGTGACCCGGTATGTGGATTTCCTGTGGTCGAGGGAGGAGGAGCATGGAGGGCAAAGGGCAGATTTTGACTGGCTGAGCCAATCACATAGGGGTGCCTCCTGCCTCGGTCTGTTGATGGGCTCTGCCCTGATAGTGGTATGCCACACTATTCAAGATTCAAGCATGCAGAAATGTTTTAATCTGGTGAGACGACTGATTTCTTCATTTGCTTATTTGCCATTAGAGATGTTGTTGTTTTCACTCAGAGAAACATTGACACAGGCATACTTAAATACCTCCATACAGCACTGGGCACAGGAGGTCAAGTACTCCCGTGTGACGGCTACATCTGGGAATAGAATCAAGCACAGACTCTGCTCCCACCCTTCCAGTCTCAGCTCTCTGTTTTACCAAAAAGACCTTTTCTGAAAAGTAGATTGGCAAAGCAGATTGGCAGGCCTTGGTCTGCAGTTCACAAGCTCACTGCATTAGTTGCCAGTTCCGTCTGAATAAAATGAATATATCTTTGTTCCAGATACAAAATATCTATGTACCCACTGAAAAAAAAATATCGTTTCATGAAATTATAAACCATTTTTTAAAGGTCACTGCTTTATTAGTGCTTTACCACTAAAAAAAAAACTTTGTGGTAGTAGAATAGGAGTGGTTTTCTTGTATTTCAGTTGTTCCAGGACATACAACGTTTTTTATTTTGACCGTAGAATTTCTTAAGCATGTGGCCTATTTTTTGTTATTTTTTGCCAAGGAGCAGGGAATTCTCAAACATGGCTTCTTCTTGGTAGACCGGTGGAATGATTTAAATGTGGAGGATAACAGCCTGTAATGAATTAAGATCAAATATTTTAATTGGAACATGTTTTGCCTTTTTTGAAAAGCCAAAATAAAGAGTCTAATTCGGGACTGTTTCAACGCCCCACCCTTGAAATTCGAATGAGGGGAAAAGTGTGAAAACAGACCGTTTCCTGGACTATATTGGACATCTGCACTGCACAGGGGAAACTCTCCCCCAGTCTGGAGGCCCCAGCTCTCCAGTTCCCTGCTCTCTCCCCATCTCAGACACTCTCTTGTGCTCCCTCACTTTTCATAAACACGAGTCTCACTTAAAATGCACGATATACCACACACTCGTTCTTCTTTTCATCGTTTTAATGAAATAAGCAGAATTACACTTAACTTACAGGATAAAGAGTAAACAAACACAAACAAGAAAAACATAGATAAAACTAAAAGACCTGTTTGAACTTATTTTAGTTTCTTTCTTTCTTTTTAGCCTTGTTCATTTGATGGGCTTCTAATGCTCCTGACTACAACCTTGTCCATATTTCACACAAAAAAGTAAATCTTTGTTGTTCCCCTTTGCATTTCATCCATCTTTCCTTCCATCTTTCCTTCTTAGTGGAAGATCAAATAAAAAATAGTTTTTCTTCATACTTCTTGCCAAATTTAGGGAAAACCTTCACAAATTATTTTGTATCTAATTGCAATGTTTTGAATGTATGTGTATAACATAAAATACAGGTTACATATAAAATAAGAAATAAATATTTCGTCTATTTCGTCCTTCTGATAGAATTATAATAATGTTTTCCCTTACCTAATCTTTCTCACATGTCTCTGCTCTACAGTCTGATGTCGAAATAACAATAACAGACGGATATATGTGTCCATTAAAAAGATCAGTTTATTCTTACCCTTTGGAGGATCATGTGGAGGAAGAAATGAACTTCCTTGCCAAAGAGACAGGAATGTTTTAACTGAATCCATGTGTGCTGCCTCACTCAGCTCCAGCAGACTCTTAATCAAATCCTAGTACTGTTTGTCCTTGCCGTGGCATCCTCATTATGAGAGGGACAGTTCAGTTTTGTGTGCAGAGTTGTCCACAAGGCAAAGAGAATACCTGCAGAAAGGATATCCAGGTTTAGTAAGATCCCTCATGCTTCAGTCACCTGTCATACTTTATCAATTATTGTTGTAAGTATTTTCAGAACAAATTATATGGGGTGTTGTGTGCATTATTTATATTTATTATTGTTTATGCTTGCACCCTCTCTTCATATTTTATACAGTATTTTATGCAGACAAGATTGACATTCAGTTAAATATTCCACAAGTTACACAAGTAATAAATGATAACTCATCTTATTACAAACCTGGTGAGTCAAATGAGAGAGACATGTAGGTCATGACCCTGTAGTATAAAAGTAAGCAATAATGATAAGGTTAGTATGTGGAATCGAAAAAGATCTCCATAATGATAGCCAATAGCTTTGAAATATAATTTATGCATTTAATCTAAACTTACACAATAGAGCTTCTGCCAAGGCCGCCACATGGTTGAGAAGAGCTATCCTAAGATCTCAATCTTCCATTTCATTAATATCACTTTTGTCCAACAATTATTAATCCCGTTACTTCTTGCTATTCAAATAGGAAAACATAATGCTCAAAATCTTCACATACTAATATTGCATTCTAAACATATTTTGCACATGTCCATTTTAGAATATTTATTTAATATCAATATGCAGGTATAAAATCATTTTATGTTGTGGGGTATTTGCACCAAACAATATTAGATATTTGGTGATGGCTTGTTTTGTGAATTGCAATTTGCTGATTTGAATAAATAATAATGAATATTCATTATTTTTCCAGCAGTTGTTAAACATCAAGATGATATGAAGTTTTCAAACCAGTATACATTTCTGTTATATGAATGAGGTAAGTCCACGACTCTTCATAATATCTAAATGAAAAGGATTTAAATCATAAAAAAAGTATGTGGGTTGAGTAACTGAACAAGAATAGAGCTCAGTTGTATAACTGCAGTGATCTTGGGGTGTGGCGAGTGACTTCAGTTTCCTGTAAAGGTTGCACAATTCTGAACATGGAACAATCTAAAATGTCAAGCATACTAGGGCACTAAGTTAATTTAAAGCATTTTAATATAAAAACTGCCCAAAATACATTGAGGAATTGAGAACTGGAAACTTGTGATCAGTTTCCTCCCCTGTGGAAACTCCCAAACATGTTTAACTTGGACTGAATCACCCCTGAGACCCTGACACACTCACTGTGATACTCCACATGCTGATAGTTGGCTTCTTCTGTGAGAAGGGCTTTTTGCACTGTGCACATATTGCCATTCTTTGAAATCTTCTACAGAGCTCAGCAAATTAGTTTTATAGTTAATCCCAGAGTGAACCAGTCCAGTCGCTGTGTTTTCCAGGTCAGGACTTTCCAAATCATGGGAGACAGTTACGGTGTCTGTGTCCCAGCTTGCATAGGTGTGCTGGGCCTCTGCACTACTAATCCTATCTAATACCCTCACTATTTAAATACACCCAATGTAGTTTGTTTTCTTTCTCACGTTGGGAAAACCTTTGAATTTAACCCATGGTAGGGCCATCTTCAAAATGTCAGAAGTTAAATAACATTATCAGGATCATGATCATTATTTAGGGGAACTACTTAAATAAACAGATGTGTAATGTAATCAGTATTTTGATTAAAAATTGCTCTATTTAAGAAAGACAACTGCACACATCTTTGCATTTGAGGGCCAGAGGGCCTAAAAATTAGCATAGATTTAATGAATTATCTGCCTCTTTTTAAATATGCAATGTGAACCCAGTCATTGATTGATGGTGTGAATATGAACCAGCTATATTATTAAGGAATTTAAACCCTGAACTGAAGAATTACGACAGTTGAATCACAAACACCTAGTATCTTTAATGAGTGTTTATTTAAGTTCAGCATATATTTCCGTGATGCATACCACTGTTATGTATGTTCTCATTATTTTTTAACATACAGCCACAGAAAAAAATTAAGAGAGCACTCTATATTTTGAAACTTATCTACATTTTTAAATCCTGGTTTAATCATAGTTCTGCTGGCAGAAGGTTACGCTGAGCAGCAGGTGGCTTCTATGTTCGAAATTTCTAACACAGCAGTACACAAGAAGAAACTGAAGCAGGAGACACTGAGAACGACTGGAAGCCAGCCAGGTAAAGGGCAGAAGCGACATTCTAATGCCAGAGATGACCATTAACTTATCTGAGAGTTTCTCATGAATCCGAGGATGACATCAAGTGACCTTCGAAAGGAATGGGAAACATTAAGTGTAGGTGTGAAGTGCACTGCTAGGACAGTTCATATCAGGCTCCTGGAAGCAGAACTGAAGTCCGATGAAGGAAGAAGCCCTTCATTAATGAGAAACAGAGAAGAACCAGGCTGCAGTTTGCAAAAAATATATATTATTCACACACACACACTCAGAAATTGAGAAATGAGTCAAATGAAAAATCGTCCTGTGGTCTCTTAATTTTATACAGGTGTATTACCACTGAAATGATGGTATTATAGGGAAATGGTATGAATTACATTTCATAGATTAATTATGTACTGGACAAACTACTCATTAATCTCATTTCTTAATGTTGGCTATAGCTATGAATGATGAAGCCTGGCACATTAAAACCTAACACACTCCTTACTGGAAGAGGGTAGGGAGGTATAATCTCCACACTGGAAAGCTCCCTTTGCAAAACCCTAGCATTTCAAGTAAATATTATCAAGTAAATATAATTACATATCATTGCCTTCACTTAAGAAAATCAAATCAAAATCAAATCAAATCAAATATTATTAGTTATATAAAGCAATAGTAGGAGACTTTTTTCCAACACATCCCGGATAATGCTCTCATTTCCTCACTCATGTCCTGCAACCTTACTGGTCTCTCATTACAGGTGACATGTATAACAGCATATCTGTTTTTATTTTCCTAATTAATTTCTTTCTTCTGTCTCAATTGCAGACTCAAAATGTACATTCTTTTTCAACAAATGATATAACTGCATTTATGCTGAATTTATATGACCTTATTACACTAAATTTAAATACAGGCTGGGTCAGCGTGGGGGTGCAGTGGTTAGATCACTGTTGACTCGCACCTCTGGGATCTGGCGTTTGAGTCTCTGCCCAGGTTCTGTGTGTGTGGAGTTTGCATGTTCTCCCCGTGTCCTTGTGGAGTTCCCTCCAGGAACTCCGGTCCCCCCCAGTCCAAAAACATGCTGAGGCTGATTGGAGTTGCATAATTGTCCATAGGTGTGCATGTGTGAGTGAATGGTGTGTGAGTGTGGCCTGCGATGGGTTGGTGCCCCATCCTGGGTTGTTCCTAGCTGCCTTGCACTCATAGGCTTTGAACCCCCATGAGTCTGAAAAAGACAAGTGGTTATTGAAAAATGGTGGTTAAATATAGGCCTAGTTTTGCTAAAGTTTCCGATCAATAAAAACTGAATGCATTTGTTTGTGATTCTGCCAGTATTAGGCTATAATATAATTTGTGACTATATGCCACCACTCAGAAGTAATTAGAAAATATCCATTGACAATCTCAAGACCGCTATTTAATAATTATTTTATAAACTAGTCTAGCCCAATATCTCTCTATAAAGCCAAATGAGCCGTATAAGGCCATTGCACGGATTTATAGAGATTAGTAGCAATTACGACCTATACAGCTAGGTAATGTTTTTTCCTTAGCTGCATATGGCGTGAAATATGTGTTGCCTAGTAGCAGGACAAATAAATCTTCGGCCGTCGAATCCTGAAGCGCATGTTCATACAACGAGGTGGATGGGAGCACAGTGAAATGGCATTTGCACGTTTCTGGAGCAGGTTTGTCGGTCGCGGTGCGGTGGGCGGGGCCAGCCGATGACGCGGAGGGAGAGGCGTGCAAACGGGCGGACGGTCATACAATGAGAATTTACAGATGCGAGTCGTGGGGAGATGCAGACGGCGCCTTCGCCTAGGATACGAACTGCTACCTGAAATATATTGATATTTCCCCGACATATTTATATTACATCAATAATGGACCTTTAAATTTTGTTTTGAATTATTATACATTTATGTACATCGATAAAATCTTGCAAAAACAGTCTGTAAACGCACTGTAAGCGGTGCTGTCAAAATATACCTGATATATTGTCTTAAATTATATTAACCTCCAAGTTTTTGTGTTAACGCGTCGTATTTGGACTGCTTTTTTCCCTCAGAAATTATGGACGAAGACAATCACGGTAAGCCGACGCTTACATTCTATATCAAATGTAATGTTTTGTTAACGCCATTGGAAGTGCATATGGAGACTAAATACGGGGGCAGGAGAATGGTTGAAAGAAGTTGATCATTCTGGTAATTATCCATATTAAGATCATTACTATCAGGCCGTTAACTTTATAGTGTTGAGACATCTATTATGGATAGTACATTTTACAATAATGATTGTAATAGGCCTTATACACTTTCACTGCTTATTGACCCATGGTTTAAATGCACATTTTGTGAACTACCTATTAAATATAATCATGCGTGAATATTTAAAAACAAAGTTTTTTGCTCTTTGGTTTCGCTAATGCCTATTAAGTTAAGACTGATTGAATAATCACCTGTAGGCATATTTAAAAAGCAGAGCTGGATTTGGGAATTTTCAATGCATTGTGGCACATTTCGATCTCTGGCATCTTGAGGTTTGCATTTGTTTTATTAGCTCACCTTACAATGCTAGAGGACACTGGAGTCTGGACATTTATCAGAGATGCTGTCAGTTTCCACATGGTGACGCTTGGGGATGTAGAACTGGGTCGTCATGTTTGCATCTTCAGAGGATGTTCCTGTCTTATATAAGGAAACGTCCAGTAGTGCAACGTATCCAGGAGTCACACTCAGAAGAAAGTGTTGGGTGGGTTGAAAGTGGAATATCTGTGGTTAAGATCTGGGTCACTGGGAT